AACTTCAGAGTATGCTTTGGTGGCATCGCGTCCGGCGTACTTTAGGATAACTTGTGTTAATGTGTCAGTCTCAAAGCTTTCGTCGTTGGCAACCTTGACGCTGAGAGCTTACTTGAAGATCCGCCCGGATGCTCTTCCAAGAAATCCGTCACATCCCATACCTGATTGTCTACCACAATCCAGCAGTCGTCGGGCGTCTTGTGCTCAGAAATCTGCTGTGCAGACAACTGCCTCTCCCTCGCCATCTTGTCCGATGGAGCTAGTAGGATGCTATGGAAGCCTGCAGTTGAGCCGATATTGTGCTATATTTCACCACTTAAACAATGGCGGTTAATGGAAATTGGAAATGCCTAGGGAAGAAGGTCGTGCACAAGGAAGATGACGCGCAAGGGATTGAATGGGCGAAGGTATGGATTTGGCTGAGATATATACCGCCGTTGTATGGACGGAAAGCGCCCGCGGTCGGGGAACTGATCGCCCGCGTGCTTCGGCATATCATCGTTGCGGGGTGACGCAGTAGCCACACAGTCATGAATTGAAGAGATGTAACTGCTCGGTTTGCATCCCCGCAAATTGGCAGTGGTGGAGAAGGGGCTCGGGCTGGTCGGAGCATCGCCGAGCCCTGCTAGTTGTGGCGGTCGGGGAGTTCGCCGCTTTCTACGTTGTACGGAATAGTCTCACAACATTCAATAGTCTGTGTTACAACATGCAGGGAAATGCTATCAATCTAATTCGGCACATCGCTATGCTTACCTCTAGATAATTTACATGATCCTTGCCCACGCTAATTGACTCCCGTTTCCAGATCTCCAGTATGTTCTTGACCATGTGCACGTCGCCAACCCCAACTAATTGATCCATCGATCACTTCTCTACCGTCAAGCACATTCCAACCCTCGGAGGTCATGCTACAGACCACTAGTCTAGCTTAGGCCCTGCACCTGGGAAAGAAGCTCCTCCAAATACTTCTTAATCTGCGGGGAGCGCCAGCGCTGTTGCGGATCTGGCTCTAGCATGCCCTTTATGCACGTCATTACATATTCAGCTACTGACGTTCCACCAGCAAGGGTCATGGAGCCCATATGAAGCTTGTGTGAGAAGTCTTCGGGAAAAACAGGTCCGGTTGAAGTTTGCCCGGGTGGTCCTCGAGTGAGCCCGGTGAGAACGAGCTGGCGCTCCATCTTAGTGTTGAGTGGATAAACCAGTTCAAACAAAATAACACCCAGCGCGTATACGTCGAGGGTCTCGTCAATGACGTATAGAGATGCTGCTTTGCCATGCTGGCGTGGGCGTTCTGTCATTCCTACCTTGCTGGCGTGAAAAGGTGGACGATAGAATTCGGTTCCAACGACAGTGTGGATCTCTGCGTCTTGTGGCTCTGACGAGGAGCCCTCTGGAGGGCAATCGTTGATGTGCGAGATGTCTGCGACGAGACCGAAATCACCAATACGAGGATGGCAATATCTATAGATCGGTCCATGCGCGCTTGCACAGGGTGAACATCCATCCAATTGCTTCTTGTCCGGGGCACAAAGGAAGATATTAGCTGGCTTCAGATCGCGGTGCACAATGTCCTTGGAATGCAGATAATCAACGCCGGAGATTATGTCCAGCATTAACTTTAGAGAAGGCACCAGATGATAGCAGTGGCGCCGTGGGAGCGTTTTGTCGTGCTCCGCGTTTGCGCTTGGTTGTGAGTTGAGGTAAGAGCTCAGTGAGATCGGGTGTAACGACATTTGTATATGCAGAACAACAGCGGGCAGTTGAGCTGCGCTTCGGTATCGGCGCTGAATTTGTAGCTTGGACGGATCTTCGCTGAGGCCATCCGTGAAGATATCATCATCGGTGCCACCAAAGGTAGACAGCGGGTCTTGCGAGGCGAGGCTGAAGTTGCGCGGGATGGTCTCTACCTCATCATCTTCCCCCATGCCATGTGCAGTGGATGCCTTTGATGTGTGGGTGCCCACACTGGAGTGGCTCTGACGGCGATGATATGCACTGGAGCCCTTTGACTCAGGGTCCAATTGTAATGAATGCTGTGATACGTCCGAAGTCTCTGACTGTTCGAAAACAATCCCGAAGCTTTTACTGTCTGTCATTCCCGTGCTATAAGTGCGGCTTTGCATCTGCACAGAGTTGATGTCTTCAGACTCGTCGTGCAGCGAAGTAGCGTAACCGGAAATGGGAGATCGTTCCACCCAGGCGCCATAATATCGAACGACATTGGTATGCTCGAGTCGAGCGAGTGTTCTTATCTCCTTCATGATTTTTTCCAGCTGATTCTGACTGCCACATTGTAGCTGCTGAAGTCGTCGCTGGCTGAGAGGAATCTTTTTGATTGCGTAGTCCTGGTCGTCTATGTGGTTTTTGACGTGGTATACTTCGCCAAAGGAGCCACGGCCCAGAACTTTGACCTCAGAAAACTCCATAGTGTAACGTGACAAATGACTGCTTGGCGGTTGTGGTTTGGGCTGAAGCAGAGGCAAGCCAACTGTCGAGCTTCCGGGAAATTGTGTTGACGGATTAAGCAAAGCTGTAAGGTCGAATGGAAAGTTTCGTGAGGCAGGGACGTTTTCATGGCCAATTAATTGCTTCTGGCCGGCTGGCAGTCCAACACCGCTAGGTCCGGGGTGCATCATGTTCAAACCTGAATTGGTCGACCACAGCTGAAGGGATTTGCTTTGCTCTAAGCCCGGACCTGCATCGTTTGCTGCTATGATTCCAGATTGCTGTCCACCCACATCGTCGATTTTGAGTTTGTCTAGCATAGACATGCCCAACATATCAAGGTTGTCGCGATAATACTGTCTTGTTGCCCCCCATTCATCTCCTTCAATACCCTGAGACACCGCGCCTACTGAGGACAGAAATGCAGACTTGTGGGTGTACAACTGGTTCCCGAGATATCGCACTTCAGGCGAGTCACGCGTGTACTGTCCATTGGCGCCCGCTTGTTTGTTTAAGATGTCTGCCGCCCGACTAAGACAGTAGAATTCGAGAAGGGCAGCCGTCATCATGTTTGAATGGCCCTTTGTATCACCCTCCAGCACCTTGCCGGAATCAGCCTCGTGGTCTCGATGGGCATTGTCCTGCAGGAGGCGAGATTCATCAATGCCATTTTCCTTACTCTGCTGTGTACCTTGGGCGGTAACGCAGTCTTCCGTAGAGACATCATGTTGACTTTCGTCCGATGACGCGTCCGAAGACGACTCTGAGGATGATACCTCTCCAGGGGACCTGAACATTGACATGGCAGGTATGACTGCTGTGAATGATATCCTTCGGAGATAACAATTGGGTATTCGGAGATAATGATCGGAGTTAAAGCCAGAACAGGCCCGAGCAGAAGAGGAATAGCGCAGCCATCTACGTGCTAGTAGTCACAGGGACAAGTGCAAGCAAGACAAATACTGGGCCGAATGCAAATAACGCAGCTGCTGGCTATGCAGTGATGTGTATTCACTGGCTTGTCAAACACCAGCGGTGAAGTAGAAAGTGCAAGGCAAGAAGATGCCACGGATGCTTTTTGAATTTGGTTGACGTGGTCCGCTTTGGGGGGGATAGCTCAGAGTCACCCTCATTCAGCCTCTTTCCATCAGATTCCAAACCGTCTTGCCATTGGCAGGGCGTGCATCAAGGGCAGCACAATCAAGACATCTATTTGTATTAGATTGTACGGTGGATGTCACGATAGAGAATGGTGCAAAATTGCACTAGTTTAATTAGTTAAAACATCATCACCATTGACTTGTTGACTGCTGTTCAAAAAGGAGTCATCCGCTGTTGGGATAAATTCTTCATTCTGCCGTGCTTGGCGGGGGAAACTCACGGAAAGTCAAAAAGTCAAAAAGTCACAACACCTCCTGTCTGGTGGCCTCAGGCACCAATCACCACACTTGCCTTCTTCTCCTGCCTCTTCGGGTAGTTCCCACAAATCGCAAATGTCCTCCGTATACTTCGGTTCCTCTCCCAATACTATCTATCAAATTACATATGACACATGGCACTATTCAATGCCATTTTCGCTTTTCTTGCGGAGTGAAGCTTCTTAGTTATCAACGGGGAAGCCTTTCCTACACGTGAACCGTTCATATTTGTGCATTCTCCTCGAGATGCCCTTGTATCGGCAGGGAATACTACTCGAACCCAACACCCCGTCTATGAACTGCTATAGACACCAAAGGCAAGGTTATGAGTTTCACATACTAATTTCATGAAAATGCGAACCTACCAATTATCTTAGAGGTCAAGCTGTATCCAATGCTTGCATCGCTGTATATGGACCTTGAGCCCCTTAGTCGCAGAGGTCCCCTTAAGAAATGGTACAATATCTCCTTCTTTACAGAGATACTGCCTAACCTAGTATGAGCATCGTTATCATAGCTTGGAATGGAGCAATGACTCGGCTTCTGTCCCGGGTACAAACACTCGCCTTTCCAGACGAACTACCGACGACTTGCTCACTTGAGTGAACAGCCAAACCACCTTTTGCGAATCCACCCATGTCCTGTTGAAAGATGAATGATACACAAACGTGCGGTCACCTGCTTATTTGCCTAATTGACATGTTTAACGCGCAGCATAGTGCATGACTGCCTCTGTCTAGGAACATTATAGCTAGCAATAGAATAGGCCATGTCGCGCAAGGACTCTTTCAGTCAAAGTCCAAACCTAACAGACTCCTTGCAAGAATAGGTAAAAGTTAGCCTATAATATTCAAAGCACTGTCAGCAACCTCTAGAACAGGTCCCAGCGCAGGGATGTTGTTTCGTTGAGATAACCTCCCGGGTATTGACGTCAGCGTTCCTGGCGCGGTCCAGATCCTCGATCGATCTGACCCCAGAGCTCAACGAAACCCAGCCTTTCCCATTGCCCTTCGAAAAATCAATCGCGGTATGATTCTCCGGAGTGTGCGCGTCCGGCCACTTTTCATTACCCAACAAGTTCTCACCTACAGGACAGTATCTCTGCAACGCGCCTTCATAGCGCTCATTAGCGACATGCCACCAAAAAAGCGCAAGTCATCGAGCATTTCCGCCATGAATGGTGCCTCATCAGACACCAATAAACGCGGAAAGCCCGATCTTACGCGTCCACATCCCCATGCCAAAGATACAGAAGACTTTGGCATTGTCCTGCGCGACTTCTATCCCCCTGAGATGTGCAACGAGCGGTGCGAGGCTTACAATAACGGAAAGCTGGAACGACCCATCGAATCCCTACAGAGGGCATACGAAGACACGTTCGATGAACGTCAGAAAATTGAGCCCAAGACAGCCGTCGTTCACTGGTTCAAAACAGATCTTCGACTACATGACAATCGCGGCCTCCAAATGGCATATCAGGTTGCGCGAGAACACAACCTGCCTCTGATCGGCTTGTATATTCTCTCTCCGGAAGACCTGACAGCTCATTTGTCGAGCGCTCCTCGTGTGGATCTGACGTTACGAACACTAGAATTGTTGCGACGAGACTTGAATGAGCTGGATATTCCTTTGTATATGGAGACGCAGGAAGCGAGGAAGGACATTCCTCAAAGGATTATAAATTTATGCCAGGAATGGGGTGCAAGTCACCTCTTTGCAAACCTGGAGTATGAAGTCGATGAATTGCGCCGCGAGGCGAAATTAGTACGACTGTGCGCAAGAAACGACATACGATTTGAAGCAGCACATGATACATGCGTTGTCACTCCCGGCAAGCTAGTCAGCCAACAGGGGAAACAATATGCAGTCTATAGCCCGTGGTTTCGCTCCTGGTGTGCCTTCCTCAATGAAAATCCAGAATACCTTGAGGTCGCGGATGAGCCAGGGTCGAACCCCGGCGATGCACGCAAGGACTTCAAGACCCTCTTTGACTGTGAGGTACCTGTTGCACCGGAGAACAAGCGTCTTACTGAGGAAGAAAAGACAAGATTCAGGGAGCTGTACCCGGAGGGCGAGCATGAAGCACTCCGTAGGCTGGAGGCGTTTCTGGAGGAGAAGGCAAATGACTATGATGATTTGCGAAACTCACTCGCGGGGCGGAATACATCCGTGCTAAGCCCCTATTTCGCGTCTGGGGCACTTAGTGCACGAACAGCTGTTTTTGAGGCCCGCAAAAAGAACAAAGGCCAACTGAATGCGAACCAGACTGGATATGCATCGTGGATTAGCGAGGTCGCTTGGCGAGATTTCTATAAGCATGTCCTGGTACATTGGCCATTCATATGGTGTGTTTTCTCCATATTTGCTAATTATCTGTATCCACACTGACCACGATCATCTTACAGTATGAACAAGTGCTTCAAACCCGAGTTCACAAATCTAGCGTGGTCGTATGACAAAGATCACTTCAATGCCTGGTGCGAGGGCAAAACTGGCTATCCGATTGTTGACGCCGCCATGCGCCAAATGAACCACGCCGCCTGGATGCATAATCGCACGCGCATGGTCGTTTCATCATTTCTTTCGAAGGACCTATTGATAGACTGGCGCGCAGGGGAACGATATTTCATGGAACACCTGATAGACGGCGACTTCGCCTCGAACCACGGCGGCTGGGGTTTCGGTTCTAGTACTGGGGTTGATCCCCAGCCATATTTCCGGATCTTTAATCCTCTACGCCAGAGTGAGCGATTTGATCCAGAAGGTGAGTATATTCGTCACTGGGTGCCGGAACTACGTGCGATTGAGAGCGCGGCGATTCATGACCCATATGGCCGAGGAGCTGGGGATATTGCTGAGAGGAATGGTTATCCAAGGCCGATTGTGGATCATTCTCAGAGTCGAGATCGTGCGTTAGAGAATTATAAGAAGGTTGCCCAGGGCCGCTGATGACCTGTTGATGGTGTGCAAGCGGGGAGGGGGGCGCCTAAAAATAATAATATAACCATGCTTTCTGTAAATCAACAGTATAGCTCAGCTTTTACTTATTACAAGCTTCAAAATTAGTTAATATACTAAGTAGGAAAGCTCTCGGGTATTTCTTCATGAATAGAGTCGTCATCATCAGTCTTCTCGAAGCCGGATAAGGAGCGTAAGGAGTATGGCAGACATCCTTCCTCCCAGTAGGAGAATAGTCTTACCAGCATTATTGCTCGTGACCCGTGTACATTTCGAGCAAATGATCGACCCTGCAAGAACTCATAATAGTTTCTTACTATCGTTCAGTGCGATTATCGGACTTGATTGGATCTGGTTAGAGCCCAGCAAAGTAGGAGCATCGGATTGCGTGTCTACTTGGAGCTAACGCTAGATCCTAGAGAGCCAGCGGTTGGAGAAGACCTGAACCGCGCCTTCTTCGAAAATTCCAGTCTTTTAGGAGATCAGGTGATCGAGACACGTCCTTTGTCTCGTTTGTCTGCATCAACTAAAAGGTCGTCTTCCCCATCTCTGAGTTCCTCCCGGCATGCTTCCTCGAGTTACTCTCTTTAATACCACGTCCTTCGGTCGACCATGTCCTGGTTGACATATTGAATATGGTCTCTACAAGCCTTTCCTACTGTGGGCACCGGTCAGATAGATCAATCAAACTATTGCGTACTAACTATATAAGGAGACCCGGCTGACCGTTGAGAAAGCAGTGGCAGTGACAAAAATTAAGTTTGTTGCTGACGACGAATTCCCATCGTATCTGCTACAATGTCTTACTTCTCACCTACCAAACAGGCAGTGGGCGAGGCCGATCTCCGAGACGCGCATACTAGGGTCAGACAGCTGGGGTACACATGCAGATGCGGATGCAGCTGCAGGAACCTAGTCGCCTATACTGACTCGATGGTACGATGCTAGCCACTAGCCTGAGACCGCCGCGTTCAAATTCAATTGAAGTTTGTGCTGACTTCGGCTACACCGGACGGTCCGCGACGGAGTTCTGTGGTAAATTTCGTTGGCAATAGCGGGAGCAATATATTATCAGTTTGGTACTAGCCTTGGCAACGTGCCAGCTGTCCGACCATTGGCATTTTGATTTCGCAAGGAAGCGACTTCATAGCGTCCACCCCAAAACAGAGTACTAGAGGTACTACTTTTTAAATTTCCTGTGAAACGATTAGGCACAGCCCACCGCGGCCTATTAGTGACAAACCAGAGTTTGCCACCAGGGCAGTGAACCCTGGAGAGCTCTCCATGTGTGGCCCGGCTCTGGATTAGGGCCCTTTTTTAGCGCGTGCGGAGTCCAGCCCCGACGGTTTCCCCGCGATGGATCGCTTCTGCTCTGCCCGGCCTGTTTTGCGCTCTGCCATTCAGCTCCCTTCCTCCTCCATGGAAAAGTCCTCTCCTCTGCTCGACGGGTTTCTATCCGCATTGCGTCTTGTCAACGGCGCGTCCCAGAAGGCTTAGCTGTCGTCGTGGGTACGTATCTCGAGCCAGTTACTCATCAACAGCTGCCTCGGTCTCTTTCCCCGCTTGTATTTGCCTCGTAAGGACTAAGGACCGGTTCTTTCGCTCCTTTTGTCTTGGCCGGTTGCTGACTTCTCAACCCCATTTTTTCAGACTGCGATTCTTTTGCATACCCTCATATACCTCTGGAATCGCCAATGTCGGCCTGAAATGGATTCTGCCCAGTCGGGGGACGCCCAGGCATCCAGTGTTCCAGCAGCCACCGAAGAACCAACCGGCGGAGCCTCAACAAAACGTCGCTGGAGAAGGAATCGGATAGCTTGTGACTCCTGCCATTCGCGGCGCGTGCGGTGCGATCGAGCTTTTCCCTGCTCGCGCTGCCTTCGCAGTGAAATCCGATGCGAGTTCACTCGCGAACGACGAAAGAGAGGACGCATTGCGCGATCCCGACTGGTAGAGACAAATGCTGCCACTGAAAAGCCGACCAAACCTGTGGAGTCTCAAGCCTCAGCACCGGCACCTGCGGAAGCAGGATCTGGTCCGGTTCCAAATGGCTCTCCCTCTTCAACATTTCACCATAGATCGCCAGCAACAAATGATGTGACAGTGTCAGCCCCGAGTATCGACGAGCGGCGCTCTCAGGCGGATGTATCACTTCCTCCCAGGAAGTCAGGGCATACAGTTAATGCGACAGAGGAATGGCTCGCAGGCACGCATGTCTCTCCAGGTTCCTATGAACCCTTGGCAGGCATCGGCCCAGGGGAAGGCCCTTTTCCTCGAATCTTCGATATCTGGAATGGGGTTGACTTGGCCGGTTACAGTGACCCAGCATCTCAAGGTTCCAAGATAACAGGCCTTGGACAGACGCCAGCACCGTCTGCAACGATCCTAAAATATCCAGTACTCCAGCCCGTAATGCCATACTTGGAGTCGAGCTTGCCTCGAAAGCTTGTATACGATCTTCTCGACCTGTACTTCACAAGCGCATTCTCCACGCATATGCATCCCGTGTGTCATCACATTCATTGCTATGTTCTACGAAAGGCGTCATTTCTGAGCCGGGAAGCTCCTCGGCCTAGCAGCCCTGCCCTTCTGGCCAGCATGCTTTGGGTGGCAGCGTTAGATGACCGTGCATTTGCTTTGCCGATATCTCCTCCCCAGAGAAAGAAGATATGTCAATTCCTGTGTGCTCTAACGTTACGGCTTTTGCGACCGTTGGTTCACGTGTCATTCAAAGAGCAAGAAGGCGCCGCGGCGAGCGACCCACTTCATGCTGCGGTCGGTCAGGACTGTCCCCCTACAACGGTGCACCACCCATTTGAAGCCGGCGGTGATGATCGGGGGCTGGTCGGCCCTGCAGGATCATTGGACGATGTCATCACATACATCCACGTGGCATCCATCATCTCTTCAAGCGAACAAAAGGCCGCCAGCATGCGATGGTTCGTTTTTTCCAAGTAACCCGAAGCGAGCAAGGAAACTAACCAATCTTAGGTGGCATGCCGCCTTTACTCTGGCACGGGAACTGAAGCTCAATCAGGAGATCGAGGTGATGCCTAGTGAGGAGAATCACCCAGAGGGCTCGAGCCCATCATTTGATTATTCACTTGCGGGATGGAGTGGCGTTGACACGGGCCCCTTTTTCGATTATTCAAACCCTGCTCGGCCAAGCTTGAATTGCGTATGCGACCGTGGCCACGAATTGCGTGGCGCTATTACCGAAGAGCATCGTGAAGAGCGTCGTCGGACATGGTGGCTTCTCTACATCATGGACCGTCACCTCGCTCTCTGCTACAATCGCCCCCTTGCTCTACTCGACGCTGAAAGCGAGGATCTTTTATTGCCTTTGGACGAAGGGTCATGGCAGTCTGGGAACATCCACAGCAATAGTCCCAAACCGGATGGACCACAGTGCCCGCTGTCAGGCGAGAAGAACAAACGCCGTGTTTTCCCCAATTTTATTTGCCATGACCACTCTATCTTCGGCTTCTTCCTGCCTCTCATGACCATTACTGGCGAACTAATCGACTTGAACCAAGCTCGTAACCATCCGATGCTTGGAGCACGCTTGAATGGAAAGGACGCCTGGGATGCGCACGTCGGTGAAGTTCTGCGCCAGCTTGAACTCTACAAGGCTAGTCTCACAACGTTTGCTGCCACTGCGTCGGATCCAGATGCGCCCTTATCCAGTGCCTTTCCCCCTAAACCCGATCAACAACCAGTCGAACCCTCACTTGCCCAGGCTTATTCATGGCATACTCAGACGGTCATTTCGTATGCATCTTACCTCGTGCATGTGCTACATATTCTTCTTGTCGGGAAATGGGATCCTGTGTCGTTGATCGAAGATAAGGACTTCTGGACTTCATCGCCCGCGTTCGCCTCGACCATCTCCCACGCCCTTGATGCGGCAGACTCGGTGGACCATATCCTACGTTACGATCCCGACATCAGTTTTATGCCGTATTTCTTCGGCATTCAATTACTTCAAGGCAGCTTTCTTCTCTTGCTGATTGTGGAGCGGCTGCAGAAAGAAGCGGGGGAGGGTATTTTAAATGCGTGCGAGGTGATGATCCGAGCGACCGAGTCCTGTGTGGTGACGTTGAACACTGAATATCAACGAAATTTCCGACAGGTCATGCGGAGCGCCGTTGCGCAGGCGCGTGGGCGCCCTGTCAATCACAGCGAGATCCGGCATCGTCGCAAGGCCGTCTTAGCGCTCTACCGGTGGACCCGGAAGGGCACTGGGTTGGCTCTTTAGAATTAGAGTTTCTCACAGCGCCGATGCCCATTTCAGCGCACGGTTGCATCGGCTCCGCATCCGCAGGCCATCGGCTGGAGAGAGCTTAAATCATCTCCCGCCAGGGCATGCTCGGTTCTAGGCCAGTCGCAGAGACTGGAATATGCAGGCACAGTATCCCCTCCTTCTCGGTTGATTACCTTGCCTGAAATGGGCTCGCTCCAGATCGCCTCTTTGGCTAACTGCCCCGTGCCTACATCTGCCGGACCTTACCCCGGCATTAGTCATTGATCATAGCAGCTGTTACTATTATTCCGAAGTACCTCGTAGTATTTATTATCCATCTTTCTTGGATACTGCACTTCGATGTTACCCTGTACATATACGAGCATTTATGCTGCTTTTGGTGTCTTGTGGCTTGTTTGTTCTGGCTCGTTGGTTTTAAACTATTAAGCGGTTTTTCTTTTTCTGGACACTACTTCCCGAACGTCATGCCCCTTTCTCTTAACATAGCAAACATCGCTTCAGGTATAAACCCGTCGCTAATGTCGGGCATCGCATGATTCTGCACTTGCTGCAAGGACCAGGGTTGTTGGCGGCCCCTTCCTCTTACCCCAGATTTAACGAACGGGCCGTGCTCACTCGGTCCGAACCTGGGGCCTCTCGGTTAAATTCCAAAAAACCGAAGCCGTTGCGGGGAGAAAGCCCATTGCATTGGGAATCGAACCAACAGGCGCTCAGCTTTGACAGCCTT